AATATTTTTTCAAATTTTTATTTAGAATTCCCATAATATCTCCTCCCCTCATATTCGATCATTAAAATAGTTATTATATTACAATTATGGTTGTTAAGTGCATTCAAATTAAAACAAACATATGTTTAAATTAACCGTACAATATTAACAGATAGCAACCATCCAATACATAAGTTTCAACACTGATTATTATCAATTATATATTATTTTATATATATATACTTATAAATTTATTCTCTCTTTATGAAGATTCCAAAATAATTAAGCTTCCTTCTTCATTTTGTTGAACATGTATCAAATATTGTGAACATTTCTTTGTTTCTGTGATGAATCTTTGATTAATATATATATGATTTTCATCAAAGTAAATGTCATATCATGATAAATCGTCAGTTGCCAATTATATGTATTATTATTTTTTAGTTTTTTTTTTTATTTCATTTCAATTGTTCCATATAATCTTGATTTGTTTCATAATTTCCGAAATTGATATAAAATAATTTTTTTTAACCAATTAGTAAGAAATAGTATTACTTAAGAAATTTTTTAAATGAGGAGAACAAGGAAAGAATGATCTTCCAATTAAAGAGGACATTTAATTCCTTTAATCAATGCTATAACTTTCTTTCATTAATCTTCTTTTAAGAGTTTTTAAATTTCTTATATCATTAATATAATTTTTTTTTTCATATTTTGAAAATTTTCCTATATTAGAAATTAAAATATAAATATTGCATAAAAATGTCATCTCATAATTTTTTTTTACTTTCTCATATCACATTTTTATTAGAAAAATATAGAAATCAATGCAATATTTATTGGTATTGAAAAATAAGCAACAAAATAATAATTATTAATATTTTAAAAACAAGTTACATTGAATTTAATATATTAAAATATCAATTTTTTTACTTTTAATGACATTTATCATAGCAGTCATTATGCATAATAGTAGTTACATACTTACATGACCATATAAATAATATTGATTAATTTACTCCGATCGTTTTTCATATTAATGATAAGAATATCTATTTTTATATATATCTTTTCAAAAGAAATACATTTTAAAAAATATTAGTGTTGTTGTCTATGAAACATGATTGAAGAATTATATATAATTTTATATTTAATTTTTTGGAAGCCTTCCATCAACTTAATAAATGTTACACATTTTCTTTGTTTACATTTCCATTCCTTCTTTGTAATTCTTTGTTCATTTTAGTTTTGCTTTTAAAAATTTAGAAGTTTTGCAAAATACTTATGAATAAAAATTATAAAGTGTGTTTAGATTATATTTCAAAAAATAAACTAACAACTCATTTTAGATTTCAGAAGTTATATTATGTCATTTCAACATTCAAAAAGAAAAATATATATAATAAAATTTTAAATACGAAGTTTTTATCGATCGCTCGAAGCGCGAGTTGATTCCCTAGTTTCTTTCATATTGTTGGGTTTGAGGCTGACTTGTTTTGGTGGAATTAGACGAGTGTCATCACGTCTATTTTTGGATCGTGACAATATAATACTTCTCATCTTTTCTCATTCTTTTTCACTTGTCCCAATACAAAGTAAGACCATACTATTTATAGGTAAGGAATACTTTCGTGCAATGAATTTGAAAATTATGGATAGTAAATTGAATAAATGAATAGCCTAAGAGTTACATAAATCACAAACATAACGAGGTATATAGTAATTATAGGAGTTTCATAGAACCTTATTACCACATTTTATCACAAACTAATTGAAAATTAAGGGGAATGAAATGCCATCAATAACAAGTAAATGCTGCACAAAAGGCAGCACTTTATTGCCCTTCAACGTGCAAACTGCAAAGAATACACAACAAGTATTGTCAACGTGCAGCACTTGACATTGTCAAATTAAGAATACAATAATGCAATTTAATATAATATTAAAATGCTATAATATTAAAATAATAATAATATATGTTCTTGAAAATGTGGATGCAAAAAATATAAATGTGAAGAATTGTTTGGCTACTTTTCCCTAAACATGTAGCAATAGGCTACCCTCAAAATCAAGAGCAGAGCTAATGTGTTAGTAATAGATTCAGTTGAATTTAATAGTTTTGATTCAAATTTTATACCTAAGAGAAAGTAAAAAAGAGTTAAAGAAATAATATATTTGAATTATTATTTTTTCGCGGGATTTACATCTCTATTATCCCTTTTTCTACTTAAATTATCACCATCGATATATTAAAAAATACATTAATTTAGTAAATGGTGATAATTCAATTGCAAAAAGAAAATAATTGATAGTTGGTCTAGTCCACATCGAGATATATTTTAATACATAGATGATGATATATCGAGTAAGATAAGAGAACAATTGATAGTTCCAATATGTTTTTTACCCTAAACTCAAAGTTAAAACTATCAAGAGTTAAATATTAGCTTTATAACGAACCATATGAGATTTTGCAGAGTATATCCTTCTCAATGACAATATATGCTCATATGACTAGGGATGTTTATGATTGGATCTAAATTGATTTTTTTCTTAAAAAAATTTAGATCAATTAAATCGATTTTTAAAATATAAACTAAACCAACCAAGCTCATTTTTCAAAATTCGAACACTCAATATTTCGATGAGAATTATTTAATAAGTAGAATGGTTGATTCTTAGCATCTTTAATTTACACTCTCAATCAATAACTTTATTCAATTTAAGGCATTATGGCCTACTGGCCTTATATTTACGTGTCCTTCTTTTTCCCATTTTCAGTGAACAATTATGTTTACATCAACAATATTCCTATTTTGGTTAACTTTTGGATTAAATTTATTCCATATAAATAAAAGGTGGAATAAGTTATTTAGGCTATAATTTTGATTTTAATTCTAGAATTATAATCTTTGGATATTCTGATTTTAAATCAAATGACCTCTAAGTGTTTGGATATATCACATGACTAATGGTGTCGTTGTAGTTCTTTCAAATATCCTATTGATCAAATTATTGACGGCAGAAGTATTTTTAGATCAAACTTTAACTGATCAGAATATTTTTCTTTAATTTCACATAATTTAAAAATATTTTAAATCCTTTTTTGTAATATAAATTGTGTCGTTCACTTTTATACAAAATTCCACATATCATGACGAACCTCCCTTTCAAGCTTATTGCCTGTACATTGAAAATACAATACTCATCGAAAATCTGAATTCAAGCTTGAATAGAGAGAAAAAGATAATTTCTTTTTATATGTCTATTTTTTAAAGAACAAAGTTATTTGATATTTATACTGATAAAAGATAGAAAATACTTATAAAATAGTGACAGTACTATATGAACAGAGTTCGATATGAAAATTAGGTAAGTTGAAGTAATAAGAAAAGAAGAAAGTATTAGTAGCAAGAGAAGAAGAAGAAAAATAATAACTAAATTTGGAATTTTTTTGTCACGCTTAATTAATTTTCCCGATTATCTTCCTCAAAAACAATACTCCTTTCATATCAAAATAACTAAATTGTTGAGCTTTCTTTTTTATTAGTTCAAAATAAGTGAATTGTTTAAGGTTTAGGAGAATTGTTGAAAATTTCTTTCATTTTTTATTGTCATTTACATTTTGTAGGTGATAATTTCAAGAAAGTTATAATTGTTCATATTTTTTATTTTACTTTGAATTATTTATATTTTCAAGGATAATTTAAAAATAACTAAAAGGGAGTAAAAGTAGGGATGTTCAAAAATCGAATCGATCGATAAATAAAAAAAAACGTTATTAGTTTATTATTATTGGGTTAGCGGTTATTTAATGGTTTATAAAAGAAAACTATTGGGTTATCGGTTTGATATTAGTTTTTTAATATCGAGTTATTGGGTTAATCAATAACTCATTAAGAATATAATAATTAACTATTCTAATTTTTTGTCATACATAAATATCAAACAAAAATATTAATATAATCACTATATTAGACTAAAGCTTAAGGACCCTGCACAATTAATACTACTTAACTCTGCTATCTGCATTTACCCTTTAGGTTTTAGCATTACGTTAGTCTTTAGGTTCACAACATCAAAACCTAAAGAACTAAGAACAGTGACGGCTAGGGTTGCAACGATGGCGACAAGGATTAGGCAACAACTTTTTTTTTTATCCCTCCCTAGGAGTTCCCACCCCTTTTGCTCTCTTGGTGACTCGAACTCGCAACCTTCGGGTTGGAAGTGAGGGGTGCTTACCATCCGAGCAACTCCTTCTCGTCAATTAGGCAACAACTAGGGTTGTGAATTGTGAGTATTTGCTATACTTTTACTACACTAAGCAGAACTTTTGCACTCAATGAGTAATAATTTGATGTCTCTCTTTTTAATTTCGCGTCAAATTGGTGGACAAGTCATATATTTGTTTTGAAAGTATTTTCTTATTGGTTAAACAAAAAACCGAACCGTTAAAGACCAAAAATCGATAAATTGAAAATCAATAACAAATATGTTATTGGTTTGGTTATCGGTTTAGCATATTTAAAAATTGATAAACCGATCCGATAATACTTAAAATCGAACCGAACCGATTGACACACACCCCTAAGTAAAAGTGGAAAGTGATGTTCAATTTATGTTCTAAACTTTTTTTCTTAATGTATGTATATATCCATTTGCCTCAACAGTTCACTTATTTTGAAATTGAGAGGGTAACATTTGTTTCTTTTTAAGATTTCAATAGGAATTGAGGAAGGAAGAGAATTACAAGATAGAAAATCGAGCTTTCACTAACAAAATGAAAGTTCAAGTACGTAACTAATTGAATTAGGTGTGTCAAAAGAATGAGTTTTAGATTAAAATTAGAGATATTAAAATAGATTAAAATAAAAATCAGATTTAGTCATCACCCGCCCAAATTTACTTTAGGGAACTAAAAATCGGATTAGGCTCAACATGACTTGAATAAGAATTTGGTGCGATACCTTAAAGTTCGAAACTTTGGAGAAGCATCCACCGACCCGTTTGGTCCAACCGGAACCCGACACACCCTTCTCTTCCACCTAACCCAACACTCAAAATTTGGGGATTTTCCCCATTCTGTTCTTCAATTAGAAAAACTAGGGTTTGTGAAAGAATCATAATTAAGAGCAGTTTACAAGGATGCAGCAACCACCACCCATGATTCCAATGATGCCCTCTTTTCCTTCTCCTAATATCACTACTGAGCAGATTCAAAAGGTATTATTAGTTTTATCTTTTGCTACTAATTTCTACTTTTTTTGCTTTCTTGTGTGATAAATAGCTAATATTGTGGAATTTAATTGTTTTGTCTTTCAAAATGATAAAGATTACTACTTTATTTGTCTCTAGGTAATAACATAGTAATTTTGTTGTTTTTCTTTCAAATAAGGGAGTGGGTGGTGGGTGGGTTGGGGGTTTGGATGTGTTCCATACTCCTATGGACAAAACAACAACGACAACATATCCAGTGTAATTCTGTAGGTGGGGCTTGGGGAGGGTAGAGTGTACGCAGACTAAACCCTTAGCTTGAGAGATAGAGAGACGGTCTCCTATAGACCTTTGTTTGATTAAAATGGGGTAATGGCCTAATAGTCTTGGATTAGTTTCTTTATTTGATAGTAGTACTTTATTTTAGTCTTTATCAGGAGGCAGGTTATGTTAACTTTGTACGTTAAATCATTTGGATTATAAGACAAATACTTCAGATGTTTTCGTTGTTATTTCATCATAGAATTATCACTGGTCTTGGCTATCCATCTGAATTTCTTTTCTTGTGTAAGAACCAATGGTCTATGATATTCTTCTTACCTCTCATACTAAGGAATTATGAGGCAAAGAAAGAAAATGTAACTTTAGCTCAAGGAGAAAGGGATAAATACCCCCTTGGACTTGTCTCGGATTTTCAGTGACACACCTATATTATTACCATAGACTTTTTTTAAAATGGAATTATTTCCATCCTAAGAGCTGACTTGCATATGAAATGAGAACTAGGTGTTGACTGTTGACACACACTTTCACATCTTCTTTAATAGTTAATTTTTTTCGTTCTTTCTTTCTCACGTTTCATCCGCCATGTGTGTATTACCTTTAGCTTTCTTTGACCTTCCATATTGTACCAAGAGCATTTTTCACAGATATATAAACTTTATTTTTCCGAATCAAGCTCTAATAGAAGGAAGGTGCAAATGACAGTCTTGACTTTGTAAAGGTGTGGCTTTAACTGAATGTAGTGGTCAGGGGTCATATACCCGGTGTATTGTTGGGTGTTCTAGCAGAAGAAAGGGGTTTATTGGTGATGGAGTAGACAGGGGATGGGTGGTGTAATTCTCTATCTGACCTGAGCTTTTTTGTGATAGTGAGGGTTATGAAAGATGGTAGCTATGGTGGAATTTTACAAAGAAGGAAAAAAATGCAAACTCATCAAAAACAGTCAACAAAAACCCACCATATACCATCACAACAACAATTCGCAAAACCACGGTGTTGACAGATGCAAGCACCACCCACTCGGCCTCTCATCTCTCTTCTTCCTCGCTTGTATTATCATATCATTTGTTTGCTGTAAAAAGAATCCCATGCCTTACTGGTTTCTCTATCTCTGAAGTCTTTATGTGCCAGCTCCTCCTCCGCCATTTTCTTGTGGTTGAATTTAATTGCTTAGTTCCTTATAATTGCAAAAAACTTCTGTCTTTTCCAGTGGCGACTTGGGCAAATATTCCCCAAGCTTTGGGTTGTCCTCCCTGACTGACTCTTCACCAGAACTACAATATGTGGGGTCAATATTCCAAGGAAATTGGGAGATTGACGAGGATGTTACACTTTGTATTGGAGTTTTTTTTTTTTTTTTGGGGGGGGGGGGGGGGGGGAGGGGATGAAATGGAGGCTCGGATCGAGAGTCTTGTGTGTAAGAATGTACCACAGCCTTAGGGGTATGTTTTATAAAGTGGTGATTAGATCAACTATGTTGTATAGGGCAGAGCGTTGGTTGGTCAAGAACTCGCACGTCAAGAAGATGTAAATAACAAAAATAAGAATGTTGAGATGGATGTGTGGGCATACTAGGAGAGATAGGATTAGGAACGAGGATATCCGGTATAAGGTGTCTATCATTGCTGCTGTAATAATGTGGATTGGTTGACAGTTTAGGGATATCTTGTAAGTACGTCTCTTTTGAATTCACTAATACGTTGATGCTTAGTCCATTAATATGGTAATCTATAGATTAAACACGAGTTAGTATATTTATCTGTGCATTAAGCTTTGAACTTCAGAAAACCATTTCTTACAAATTTTTTTAAAAGGTGGTTATGTTTATGATTACTGAAGATCTGGAATAGTTTCTCTAGCAATTAGGAGTCAACCCATGTTCCAACTGGACCAATTTGCAAGAATTTATTTTGAAATCGACAGCATGATCATGTTTGTTGATTGGATAACACAAGTAGTAAAAAAATATTTGAAAATAATTAGGGTTAGAACATTTGATGAAATATCTTTTGACAATTTCCAAATATTATTTTCGACATTTTAACTAGAAGAATGAGACATACTTCTCATTAAATTTTTTATTTATGGACTCGGTACTTTTTAATCTTCTCATGAATGTAGGTGAATGGTTCACAGTTATGTTTATGACACAACTACTTTGAAAGAATAAATACTTACTCGGCTGAGTGGTTTTGCGGCCACCTCAGGTATTTCTTTATATTTTCAGATGTCAGGATTCTTGTGGTAAAATGGGTTTTGTTATGTGATGCAGTACCTGGACGAGAACAAGACATTGATTTTGGCCATAATGGACCATCAAAATCTTGGGAAACTAGCTGAATGTGCACAGTAAGTGGTGGCATCCCCATTCAACTCTTCTCTATGCTCTCTTATCCCTTTTGGTACTTGAACTTGTATGTTCTTTTGGTTTTAAGCATTGACATGTCACAATTATGATGTCATGTACGAAAGACAAGATTTTGAGATCTTGTATTGAAGTTCCACAACCAACTTCTAGAGCTAGTTTAATTGATATAATTTAAATGAGCATAGGCAACAACCACCAGATGCACTTTGGCCAAAATTTCTCGAGGCCCAACTTGCGTGTTTGTAACCAGATGCCGGTCTTTGCTTTGGTGTAGTAATTGAGTTGAAGGCTTTATTAGGTTTTGGGTATGTCGTTAAGACAAAATGTATGTAGAAAGATTGAGGGGTAGATTTAGGCAAGATGCATTTTGTGATAATAAGGATGAGTCTGCATTTGCAAAAGGACTGAGGTGAGAAATGCAATGCTAATTAGTCAGTTGGGTGTTTTTTTTTTTTGAGCTAATGGATGTACTGTTTATTAATCATAGTCTGTAATTGATATTTTATATTATAATTATTTTCTCAAGCGTGACACATGCACATTTACATACATGCTCTTTTTACACTTGGTTCTTTTTTCTTTACACTTCTCTCTTCAGATTATCCTCCTGTGAAGAAAGAGATCTATTGGGGGATCGACTGCTTGAAACACAGTTGACACCCTTTGTAGCAACGGAGCAAAGGAAAAAGGGGGAGGCTTTTTTGGTAGGGAGAGCTTAGAACAGAAGTGAGACCTTACCTTTGGTAGATGAGGGAGCTGTTAGGAGGAGTGCGGGAGAAGATAGGCTTGTCTTTTCATGAGGTGAAGGCAAGCAACAGAGATGGTCACGATTCAACAGAAAAGAGAAACAGAGCTCTCACGATCGAGTGCAAACAAGTCTTAAGAGTGTCAAAATAAAATTCTGGGATGATTTTCAGATTTGCGGGTACAGTATGGACTGGCTAAGGGGAACATAGGAGATGATGGTATGGCTCAAGCTAAAGCAGCAGATTCTGGCACAATATAATTACGGAAACCTCTCATGTTTGGCTGCAATTAGTTTGGGCTTTAGGTGTAGTTGATTAGTTGAATAAAGAAATAGGTGATAAACTTGCAGAGATTTAATCAGAACTTACAAGTATTGATTAGTTATGTTACATTAGTGTGAGCTTATAATTATTGATTAATTGTGTTAGCAGTATTTGAGAGAATAAATGTATAGTGTGACAATCAACTATTACCATTCATTGACCAAGTTCACTGGAGTTAAAATTTGATTAGCATTTTTATGTCATACGTGATAATGGTCGGTGGTCTTAATATTCCTATTTCATTATGAGATACATTTGTCTTGTTCCTAACTCAATCTATGGAAGTGCTAAATTGATTTTCCATTTGGTGTTTCCTTTACTGATGATTTAGCTCGACATCCTGATGATCTAGGTACCAGGCTAAACTTCAGAAGAACTTGATGTACTTGGCCGCTATTGCTGATGCTCAACCACAATCACCAGCTATTCCAACGCAAGTGAGTGACGACTAGCTTAGTTTATTTACTACTTATGTGCGTTTTGTTTATGGTGTTTGTCATGACATACAGATGGCTCCTCATCCTGCAATGCAACAAGGAGGATTTTACATGCAGCACCATCAGGCTGCAGCCATGACTCAACAACAAGGTATGTTTACTTCAAAGATGCCACTGCAGTTCAACAACCCACAGCAACTACACGATCAGCAGCAGCTTCAACATCAACAACTACAGCGACAGCAGCAAGGTATGCAACTTGGAGGTGCCAACAGTGGAATGCACTCCACTCTTGGTAGTACAAGTAATGTTGGCCAGCTTACAACTTCAGGTGCTGGTGATGCACGCGGAGGAAACAAACAAGACAACTCTGAAGCGGGTGCTGATGGTCAGGCTAGCTCGGTGACTGCCCAAGTCTCGGAAGAACGCAAGTGATGAACTTCTTAATAATGTACCAATATGTCCACTAAGGGCAGTTCATAGCAGGGGTTTAGAACTATGTTGTATGTCATGCTTTTCATGATGTGTTATAGAGAGAGGACTAGGTAGGTTGTGTTTTCCCTGAGCGCGTTCTCTGTTTCTCGTTCGAGTTAACCAACGTGTAGTTAAGAGGAAGAAAGCTTGTTTAGTTTGTGTACCAGTGCTTGTAATTCTGTAATAACATAGAACTGATGCTGTTTATTTCAAATAGTGAGTCTTATCGGCAATAAAATTATTCTGAATATGTTATTGTTGTTGCTGCTGCTTTACCTCACTACTAGTAATACTTTTGTGTGACAAAAACGGATTTTGAAGAAAATAATTTTTGGATTTCCTTATATATTGACATCATTAGTGATGATACATTTCACCTTCCTTAACAGTACATTGATTATATTAATAAGTATTTTAGTCACAAAATAATTTTTTAAATTACAGGCAATTTTGACATTTTACACAAGTTATTAAATGGGACATTAATTAATTAATGTAGGAAAATGTACGTTCCTTCCTTCTAATAATAAATTATTCTCTACTATGTGTTTCTAGAAATTATTCAAATTGTTTAAATCGTTAAAACAATGTTATTAAGATGATTAATTATTGTTCCATCTACAAACACTCCTCTTTCATATAATTATAAAATCAGTCGTTAATGTCAATATCATGGAATGTGATATACTTTAAAATTAATCTAATCAAATAATTAGCAATAAATTACGAGGGAAGATGTATCTTCCTTTTTTCTAGACTCAAATTAAGACAAAAAAAAGCTTAAAATTAAATTAACTTGAATTCTAACAAAATTATCAAAGTTAATTTATATAATAGTAATATTACCTTCATGGTGTCAATATTTCATTTTGAAATAAAAGATATCATAATTTAAAATGAAGAAAAACTATTCTTTTTGAATTACATAGTTACGTTTATTTTAGAGAAAAACCAAAAAAGAATAAATCTAAAATAATCCTTTAAATATATCATTAAACAATTTAGATCCTTTAAATTTGTCAAAACTAATTTTGGTGTTTAGTGTAATTTTTGTGAGACATAATCTCTATTATCTTTTTTATCTACTTTTAAACGTTCGTACGATTCTATAATGGGAGAAAAAAGTATATGAAAAATAGACATCTTAAAATAAGATTAATCATCTTTATCTTTGAGTCATCCACCACTTTTTTATTATATGAAATAATCAATTTGTACTTTAATAATTTTAAAACCAAGACAATATCTAGCAGCAAAATATAAATAATAAACTAATATGAAATCCAACAGCTAAAATGTGTGGCTGCTACCTCATGTTTAAAATGGATCCGACCAACAATAATTGTTGTGAAAAATAACACCTCAAAATAACACTCCATCCACCCATTGACTTCAAAATATCCTTGTCATCTGTTGCTCCCAATTGAACACGCAAGTGTACGTGATAGCACAAGTAATATAGTGGCTCTTAAAAGAACCAGATTATCGAACCCAAAAGACTTGTCAATTAACTATTTTTACTAAATTATACAAGTCTAATTATTTATTTAAGAGTGCCAAAAGAAAAGAATGCAAGAACAAAATAATAAAATTACTTACAATGATTGGAAAATTCTAGGGCTGCAGCATGCAATGAATCTCATGTATCATATTCTTGGCTTATAACTAATTTTAGTTGTCATGTTACTGGTTTACAGGGTTAATTGTATGAGTCGGGTATCAAACATCTAGTCGCCTACTCCAATTAGCTGTCTAACTACATCGTTGAGCGGTGATAAACAAGCCTAACTGGCGAGCATTTATATTTCATACTGTTTCGTAACCAAGTAAGTTATTCGTCCAGGCGTCACCCCTGAACACAAATCACCTCAATTAAATGGATCGATCGAGCTCTCTATATATTCTCTGGTCTATCTAACACTCCTCTCTTGATTTTAAGATTAAACAATATATTTATCTCTAGATGGCCAGTCAAGAAATACTAAAACAAAAATATAAAAGTAACTTATAATGACAACCAATAATTAATTCATGAACCTTAAATATTCAACATTTGATTCGTAGCTACAGCCCTAGAACAAGGGCGTTTAGCCACTACTTTGATGTCTCTCCTAATTGAGCTCCTCTTTCCATAATAATTATTTTTATGAACTATTTATAGATGTAGAAAATCCTAAATAAAATAACTGAGTCCAAAACAAATTGAAAAACCAAAAACAAGCGTAATAAGAATTCCTGGTCGCGTAAACAGTGCTCTGCCGAGTTTCATTCTTCATTCTTCATTCTTCATATGATGCCACGTGGAAATTTCCAATTCCAATTCCAATTCTACTTCGACCAAAATATATATTATTGTATAAAGTTTAATTTATTAAGCTACCTGCTTGATTTTCTTCTTCAACTTTTTATCTTTAATTCGTTTAAGCTTCAAACTTTTTTAACTTTACACCAATTTACTCCTACAAATAAATTACACTATTTAGCACAATTAATAAAATTAATGCTAAAAAAGAACATATATATATAACAAATGTGAGGCAAATAATAATTAAAATATGTATTTTTGGCCTCACATCAACACCCCATACTTAAACTTTTGTTCGTCCTTGAGCAAACATTAAAGCTCATCTCAAATAAATCATGTCATCACTTTGGTGAATACAAACAATTATGCCATATACCAATTTCAAAACATCAAGTAGACTTCTCAATTATGCAAGACATCCAAATAAACAACAAACCTCTAACCTCCTAACCTCAAGGTAGGACTTTGAACTCATCAAATTTAAGCTTGCTCACCTACTCTCATCAAAGAAAGTTAATAAAATCACATATCCATCATGAAACAAATGTCCTCACAAGAAGAAACAGTCCACACACTCAATTCAAAAGATTGAATATAAATGAAGGACTTAGCATCAAAGAACAACTCACACTCACAAATAAAATTCACATGTATGCACAAAGAACCATAGGCTTGCCCATTATGTACATCTCCACTAATTAAGCATGCTTGAATAGAATCAAATAGGACTTTAATGGGTTGTAATGTAGGCTAAGGGACGAGTAGGAAAACTATATAATAGTGACTTACACTTCCTTAAGCACTTAGTAATTCTCATCATCTCAAGAATGCTTCAATCAACTTTTTTAAGTTTTCCTTCATAATAGCCACCCTCAACTTACGTATTTTACATGCGTTAAGGTGCACGATGTCCTTGGAAGGACCAGTGCCATCATCAAGGCAACTTCTTTTGTTCATCTCTTTTTTTTTTATCACATTCTTTCAAAGAGGGCTTTTAAGCATTTTGTAGCTATCATTGATTACGTTTTCACTCAACCATTTTTTTTTCTCAGAATTGATAGTTAGAATAAGTCTATGCTATAATGGTGCAAAAATTAGGGATTCAACAAAATAGTCAAGGGCAAAATATGGCTACCAACAAAAAGCTACAGGCTCAAAAGGGCTAACTAGTGATAAAATATCTGAAAATGCTAAAATTTACTAGACAAATCAACAAAAGCCTATTATCATCTCCTAAACAAAACAACACTTTTTATTTCGCTTCAATAACATGCAGGGCAAGTTCTAGACTAGGATGCAAAACATGGAATAAACAAATTCTCACCACATGGCACAAATATCAATCAAGATGGATCAATTCCACTTCTAAGAGAGACAGGATCATAACAAACTACAAAATAAAATAAGTTATGTACAAAGTCACAACCATGAGCTTAGGTGTCAAAGAGTCTGCATTTTTTTTATCAAGCATTCACAAGAAAGTACTACTACAAAATTAGACCTAAATAGCAAGTATCACACCACTCAAAAAGGTCTTTTATTTTCTCTCAAAAAAAATTTATTACTAAAAAAAGTAAAAGACACTCGGTTCAAAGGGACTATCCTCAGGAAAAGAACCGAAAATAAAAGCCAAGGAACCCATTCTTAAAAAATAAAAGACTCAATAAAATAATAAAAACTAGGATTTTTTTCTTCCACCTCACACTTAAAAAGATGCTATGTCCCCAAAGCATCAAATAAAATTTAAAACAAGGGTCAGAAAAATTCCCTTAGGCCTTTAGGCCTAGCTAGTAGCATGTTCTCTTAATTTTCATCAAGGGTCGTTACCCCACACTTATGCTCAAACGTGCTCCTTAGCTTCAAATTTTGGATACTCAGATGTAACAACCCGTATTACGCATATGCTTGATCTATTCTTGTGATACTTGACATAGCCTTATAGTATAGGTGAGGCACCATGTTTCTTATATGATTAGTGTTGGTTTAAACTATCTCGAAAGATGATGTGATGTCTTGCACGTTTCAGCATGTATACTGCAAGTTATAACTCCAACGAAAGTATTTAAACTCGAGACGGTAAGGTGGTAATTGAGCTTAAAGTTCAAAGTTAAAGAAAAAGTGAGCTGCTTGCTTGACTTAACTAAGCTAGTAGGTGACAAGTAGGTACATCACCACTTTGACTAATTGACCAGTCCAAAGGACCAAGTAGGCGCATCACCTACTTGAGCTATATGGATCTAGTTAAAAAAGGCCTTTATGGATCAGATTTGGGCCTATGCTAATGGACTCACTTGAGGCCCAAACTAAGTTAAATAAAATGAAAATGAAATTAAAACTCAGCAGCCAAATCTGCCAAGGCCCAATATATCTAAGCCCAAGTGAAAGCAAGTAGGTGCATCACCTAGTTTGACATTTTGAGCTGCTTGATGTACAGAAGCAGGTGCATCACCTACTTCACCAATTAGTGGCCGAAAATAGACCAAAAAAAGGAGGTTCTAGAGAATATTCTTAAAGGTGAAGAAAGCTCAATATAAGATATATTGGCTGCTATTCTCACTCATTTTTAACACACAATATTGAGAATTACTCCAGCTCTCTCTCTCTTTTCTCTCAAGGATTAAGACAACAACCTTAAAGTTCCTTCTAGGGTTCTTGAAGAAACCCTCATATTTGCAAACCAAGGTAAGAAAAACACTTATGGATTTAGCTTAATTCTCCCATAGAAGACTAGAAAACATGTTATTCATGCTCAATTATAAGTAGAAGACAGAAGTTCCCACAAGCTACTGCTCACTTTCCTTAATTATTAAGATATTTTTCTCTCCTTCTTTGGTTTAAGTGTGAAAGAAAGTTGAAGTTCTAGAGGAATTCAAGTTATAAGGAGAAGTTGCAGAAATTGAGCTAAGGTGACTGCTCCATTTTCTTCCTTCTTATGTATGAGTT